GGTCAGCATAGCTCATTAACATTTAAAGGAAAATGCTACAAATCTGCATGCTCTGAAAAGAGCTGTTTTTGACAGGGTAAAAACTTTTTTTTTTTACACTACCATTGAGAAATTTTTAACCAAACTATGTTACAGACTTTTCATTAAGACCCTAAAGAATCATATCAACTTGTGGAAAATGGGCATCATATGACCCCTTTCAAAATATAAAAGTAATTCAGTCAAGAGCATTGAGTGATTTTCTCTCTTTTTTTCTCTTTTTCTCTATTTCAATTTAAGACACAATGCATGGATCCAATATAATGATACACATCTGGGGCCTCGTTTATAAAATGTTGCGCAGAAACCATCTTAAAATTGATCTTACGATCATTTCTCAAATATGCGTACGGGTGATTCATAAAATGAACGTACGGACAGAAAACGCACGACTCTTTCAGATGTGAAAACTATGATTTGCAAATGATCTTGAACTTGCGCACAAATTAATGGTTTCAGCTCTCTGCTTTGTAAACGACTCCTCTAATTAATGTCATTAACATGTAAAAGATCACCAGTCATCATCCAAATTCTTTAATTTAGAACAGCGAGCTGCAATACTCGAGCAGTACTCAAACAAGAAAAAGTGTGTACGTCTGCTCAGACCCTGATGTGACGCTAAGCACTTATCCACGTCAAAGCCAGTTTTTACAAATATGACCATTGGCATGGATTTAAGCATACGCACACTCTAAGATCAAATCTGAGTGTACGCACACTTTATAAATTAGGCTCCTGATTTCTTCCTCAACTGTTCACGTTCACCTAAGACATAACCGACAGTTTTTAGAGAACACTTGCCAAGACGGGTATTTTCGACAATGTTGTATGTATTTGTCCATTCAAGCACTAGGAGTCACAAAATTCAATTCCATGTTCACGGGCTGTGAGACACGTCTCTCTGCGTGCACAGAACACAGCGCACGGGTGCTGAATTAAGTTCTTTCGCGTCTTTTTGTGCTTGATAATTAAATTGACAAGGTGTATTTGTACGTTCAAGCACAAGAAGATGGGAAAGGGTCAATTTGAGTACTCAGTTAAGTTATTTTGTCTTATTATTTAAGTCTTCTTGTGCTTGAATGCTTTAAAATATCTTGAATGTTTAAACTGGCAAGGCTTAAAAACACATGGAAATGATAAGGTTTCATGACGATGTGCAGCAGTGGCCCATCAACTGCCCTGAGCATCTTTCATTCTGGCCACGGGCAGTCGGTTGAAATTGCTGGGGACCCCCACACGGCTGTGGGCCCCTATAATCATCACCACCTTTCTCTCTACTAGCAACGGCCCTGCTTGGGAGGTGCTCATACTGTGGTTCACTTATAATGTGCATTATAGGAATGAGTACACAGGATACATTCTAATATTCCATTTGTGGTATTTTTTTTTATTTGTTAGTGGTATAGCAAACATTTTTCTCTATATATAGTGTTGATATGGCAACTAGTAAAATAAAAAGTTTTGTCATGCTAGCATGTGTGGATCACCCTCAAAAAAAGCAAGAGCACCATCAGCTGAAGCTGTAATAATGGCATATTGGCAAAACAGATCTGGCTAATGCTTCAGTGAGTATTAGTGTTTGAACTCTGGAAAGCATCAAAGGTTTCTATTTGCCACATGTTCTTGCAGTCTTGAGCAATGTAGCCAATCACAGACATATCTATTGATGGCCAGTGATTACAAAGAGAGCAATTTTTGCACACTTTCTAAGCTATATATATAATCCATTCAGAATTTGAATAAAAGCTTTGTTTTTTTATGCCAGGGGTCATGCAATTCGCACATGAGCATTACCTTGGTTTTGCACTAATCAGTTGTTTCACAAGGTGGCAACACTGGCCCAGGCCATTCTTTCACAGTAGAAAATGATACTAAAGAGATGGAACAACAACAAAATAGAGGAGACTACAACAACAGACGGCCACATTGACAAGCGCTTGTGTGAGAGGGTTATGAGAAAGCAGCAACTAGTTTAAAAGAGTACAAAGCCATTTTTATCTGTCATAACTTCTGGAGAAAAATAGAGCAAATGCTGGACAAAAATAAAGCTTTCTAGAGTGCATGTCGACCACCTGCATTCACGCACAGTTGCGCAAAAACGGGGTTTGCAGTATATGCAGTGCATGGGGGCGCCATTTTGCCAAAATCATTCTGTGAAAAACTTCTTTAATAAAACGTTATAAATAATCAAAAGCTTAGTTATTAAAAATAATTAATGCAACATTTTTATTTATCAGTTTTTAGCATTTTAATGAGTTAAAAAATGTATTTATTAAAAACATATTAAGACGAACGGCCGTATCTCTTTGCGACCACAACAAACTGGAAACTTTTCAGATGCGCACTTCAGCTTCCCCTCAGCGCGCGAGTCAAACAAGCACGGAAAAGGTAGGCTACAGGTGCCAAATGAGCTTCAGTAGAACAACAGTGAACAGGTCTGATAAGATATTGTTTTATGTCAGTAAAAAACTTTCCTGTCCTGTCAGCCGTTTTACTGTGCTGACGGTGCACGCTCTTCGACTGTATGCGAATATGGCGCACGCTCATCATAAATAAACTGCACTAGAAACTGTGAGCATACATCGTCAGTTAAGTCACGAAATTACCAAAATGGCGATTAAAGCTGCAAAACTGTCCATGCATGTATGTGCATTACATTTAAGAACGTCTCTCAAATGCATGCAGCCTACTGAAATATTCTGCAATTCGACATCACAATAGGGCGCAAGATGATAGGCTATGATAGGCTATTTTATATAATTTAATGCACAAGTAGGCCAAATGTGGGCACAATGCAGTTAAATGTACTAGAAAATATGCACTAATTTTTCGTTAATTTGTAAAGTATGAAAATGAAAAGAAAATGAAACCATATTTAACTGCATAACTCATTTTACATTCTTACATTATTTTCCTTTGTACAGAGCTCGATTTAGGTATGACAAAAGTGCTGCAATTAATTAATTTGGACAACTAATAGAATGTTAAACATTGACTGATAACTTTTTCAGAGTTCACTGATTATATAAAATTCAGTGAAGGTTGACTATAGTTATCTGCATGTCTCATCCATGAGTGGGCCTATGCAATGATGGAGAACAAGATTTTGGTGGTGTTAAGTTAAGTGTTACTGAGCAATAAAGCTATAGTGAGCCCTTTTATTACAATACCTGGAGCCTAGGTAATACAAAAATAATACAAAAATTGTCATTCACTCAGTATTACTTGATGTTATTCACAACTATCTCAGTTAAGATTAAGTACAAATTAATTGTATTCAAGTATTCAGTTGTGTTTTAGGCACTAAAATAGAACTTTATAGCCAAATCCATTTCTATATTGAAATAATGAAGATTTCTGTGCCACCCCAGACTGGTTGCTGTACCCTTCCTGGCCACCCCTATGAAAACATCCTGGCTCTGCCACTGCCTTAAGAGGGCAAAGTGATTAATATCAGTTTATTTCTGAGTATCTCTTTTGCTCTATTGCTGAAAATTGCTTTAAATTGTAAATTTAAAATAGGCCATCTGTGTAATTCAAGTAGATTCAATGAGTTGAAAACTCTTGCTACTTCATACTTCAATACAAAACAATGCTGAACTTTGACAAAAAAGAGATTTTTAAATGTTATAATAGTGATTTTATAATGTCTAAATATAAATCCATTAGCAAAACATGTGAAAAGAACTATATTACAGAGTGGAAATGGTAAAGGAGACAATAAATGATCCTCTGCTGCCATTTAGTGGTCATAGTGGGAATCATGACATTCATTTTAATAGTATTTGTTTTTCTACCAGGTGAAATCTTGGCAGAAATCTTCCACTTAGCATGGCAAGTAAAAATGAAAAAAAATAAAAAATAAAAAATGCAGATGTTCTTTAAAATAAATTTTACTATATAAAAATGTGCAAGAATATGAATAACTTTGAGGCAAATAAATAATATTATAATATATATAAAAAGTGAGCCATATTACATGTGTTTGAAAATAAAAATGAATAAAAAAATGTGTTCTACTGTCTGGGGTCTGCCATCAGGAGTTAAAGGGGATGTTATGTGACACACTTTTCTTTTTTTCTTGTTTTTACTTTTCACTTTTTTCAATCCTTTGTCACTATTTTTTTTTGTGAGTTTGTATCCTTTCTGACTTGCAGAAAGTTTTCTGTGTGAGTTAGTGTTAGAGGCTACTGGAATACAGGGGGGCGCCGACACTGATCTTGCATACCCCTCTGCAAATGTGCAGTTGAGCCCCGTTCACACACACTATCAAATGGAGTATACTTTGAAAGGCTGCGTGTTCGACTGTACACATATGCTAACGTAACGTAAAATAAATGCAGCCAGTGATTCACTTCTGTGACAGAGCAATGTCATGGCTGATATTGCGGCTTTGCAAGATATGTTGACAGTGAAGAGTCATTAATACCCCAATATAGTCATGGCGAAGTTCTTTTTCATTCTTTACTTAAGGGTAAAAAGAAGACTGAAATACCTTTGCAATGGTATAGGCTATTGTTAGCGAACATCCAGACACCACCCTCGCTGCTGCGAATGGCATTTAGATGAATATGTAAATAATATGTGCTGTACTCTACCTCTCTATAACAAAATAAACACAACAAAGATGACAGCTTTGAGAAAACAGCAGTTAAGAAAGCATCTGATCATAGTTGCAAATTGATACGATATTTGAAATTTGGTGTTATTGACATGTGGCAGAACTATGTCAATTAAAAAATCCACATTTGGACGGATAAAGCATATTTTAATATTTAGTAATTATTATGTAAAATAAAGTGAACATTACTTTAATTTAATAAATGTTGTGTTCATAAGTAAGGGATAATGTACATCCAGCCGGTTGTTATCACAGAATAAAGCCCGACAGGCTTATCAGCAGCCCAGTGCAAAGTGGAGCCTGTTGTTTCATGCGTTCGCTCAAGAGAGAGCGAGTCCGCGATACCAGGATGACATAATTAAATTTTTGTACAGAGAATATTGATTTGAGTTTTAATATTTTATTAGCCAACCAAACGCAAAGCTTCCATGAAGAAAACATTTTCCCAGTAAGCGAATAGAGCCGACTGCAGTTACCCGAATGAGCCTGTGTTATTAGTTTTTACCTGTTGTAATCAGGAAGTAACATACCTTGGAATTTCACGACTGACCAATCAGAATTAAGCATTGCACAGAGCCGTGTAATAATTTGCTATAAATACACTGTATTTTATTATGCATATCTGATAACCACTAATTTAAATAAAAATTCACTGTGTTTCATTTAGGCTAAAGAAGCAGATCTACTGACTTTGGAGCAGGTACTGGCTGACTCCGCTTTCACTGCAAGTAAATTCAGGGAGTGGAAAGAGACCAATGCTGTTCTGCTGCAGGAGATTATTCTGAGCCGCCCTCTACAGACTGAGCCCTTGACCGCCCCTAGTGCCTCAGCTGTGCATCCCTCAACATAGATGTGTATACACACTGAAAGAGTATACACCACAACACAAAGACTGCAAAAATTTAGAGTTTTCAAATCTGGTCTTGACATAAGAATGAAAATAATTTTTTCTAAGACTACCGTTACTTTCACTTGCCGTCATTTGTCTATTTATTTTTATTTTATTTTTTGTATTTTTTTTACAGATGTAAAATCGGTTTGTTACTAATAGGTTGTTTTAAAATCCTTGTTGTTTCTATTGGATACTTGTTGAAAAAACTGTGGCATCTTACTGATGTTAAAATACATTATTTTGAATCATTTTAGAAAACCAAACATGTTTAGTCAAATGTTTAATAGCCTATGTAATTTTCATTGTTTTTTTTCTGCATTCAGTGCAAACCTAGTAACCTAAAGTACTGATTATGTGCAGTCTGTATAGCTTGCTACGTTTTTATTATTGTAAATACATCTGTTTAGATATATTTATTGATTAAAAGTATGATGCAACTGCTTTGAATAACAAATGTGAGCACTGTTCATAGTATAAATAATCTAATAATATTGTAATCTGCATTACTGTCATATTTAGACAACTATTGAATAACTAAATCTCATGGTTTTACTTATATGGGAAAGAATGTGTGCATTTACATCACATTTATTAGCTTAGCTTTACTGGCATGAGCTTGGCATTGTTGCTTTCATGCTGTAAGGTCCACCTAATTGGCCCAACAAAGGTATCCAATGGTGGCTGGAGGTTTCCTGTGTGTTCAGACTTTTCGGTGCGTAATGTAATTCAATTTCAGTTAAACTCTAATCGGTCTCCATTTTATTATGACATTGAATTAGGTTGATATATCAATTGGTTGTTTGTCCATTTGTAATTGTTATTCTACTGACATTTGACTATTATTGTTAACTCCTAATTTCTGATTGTACTCGTTAATCCGGTTTCTCATGTCGCTCAGAGAATCTTGCACCGGCCGTTTTTTACACGGATCTCACGGTCACATACTCGACAGTCTTGGACACTAGACAGAAGTAATTGAGTAATTAGATGGCCACCCCATGCTTGCTCATTCTAAAAGTACTTTTATTTAGTCCCCATAGATCTGTATGCACTTGAATAAAGCAACATCATCCCTAGCCAGAGGTCATGACCACTATTATAGATATAAGCCAACTGTAGTGGACAGCACATTCCAGGGCCCAGTTTATGGCGGGGCCCCTCTCTGACCACAATAGTGGACAAAGGTTTGCTACATTTTGATTGGATCTTGGTGAACTAACATAAGCAAACTATCCAACGCCATCAGATAAAGTCAAGTCAAGTCAAGTCACCTTTATTTATATAGCGCTTTTGATATTCTAGGTATTATCAAATGGCCAGAGTTTTGAGATGCCAGGACAACAGCTAGACACCTCTTAGAGGGCAATAAGAAGACCTTTGGTACAAAGCCCGGGAAGGACAGGGCTTCTCATTGGTCAAAATGCAGTTTCTGCCCTTTACCCACCATCAGACTGATTCCTAAGGTTTTGGCCTGTGACCGCCATAAAAATTCCTTAGGACCTCTGGATGCAGCAGCAGTGGGTGAAACCAAGAGAGATAACAAAGTTCCATCTAAATCCTTTCATAACTATGTTCTCAAACCTTAAACTGATGCAAACTACAACACACACATCTCATACTTATTCAGAGAAATAAGTATTCTCAGTGACAGCGACGTGTAGTGCAACATCTTTTCCATCCAAATCCATTCATAACTATGTTCTCAAAACTGATGCAAACTACAACACACACATCTTATACTTATTCAGAGAAATAAGTATTCTCAGTGACAGCGACGTGTAGTGCAACATCTTACACAAACTCAGCTGTTAATGGACAAATGAATGCATGCATGACATTTCAGTCTTCTTCCATCATGTTTGGACTTAATGTGTTCGTAACATTGCCAAAGGTATTCTGGTTGTGGTTTGGTAAGTGAATAATGCATTGGTAAAGCTTTAGTGACACTTTTCTAAATGTGTGTTTGGACTATGCAAATAAGTTCCACAGGAGGAAAGAAGGGTGGGCCAGACTGTGTCCCACCACTCTGATGGAAACAGCTAATCCGTGTCCCCCCACTCTGATGGAAACAACCAATCACAGCCTGGAAATGGAGAAGCGCCAGATTGCAATCTCCTCCTCATCGGAAAGAGATAAAGGTACCTTCCCAAAAGACACCTCTCAGTCCTGTCAAGGAAGGGACTGTAAAAGATACACTCGTTCTGAGTCTGAGTACTGCAATGGAAAAGATGTTAACAGACACACGGTTCTGAGTCTGAGTCCTGTCAGGGAAAAGACACTAACAGAGCAGAAGAGGCAATAACAGATACCAAGTCCTGAGTTTCCAGCTTCGAGGCAGCAACAGATATGACCACGGTCTGAGCCTCCAGCCTGCGAGGAAAGAGATAATCTACGTTCAGACTTCATTCAGAGTCTTCTTATGTGATGTACTCATAACCACACCTTAATTGACACGTGATCCAAATATCATAACGTCATTGGGGACGCGAGTACCCATCACTACACTATTTCGCCTCCCTAGGTTGGCGAAAGCAAAATTCACTAAACAACCAACATTACTTTCTCAGATAATAGTTTTGGTATGGTCATGCCATGGTTTCTCATGTACGCTTAGCTAGAGTAAATAAACAGAACTTAGATTGGTCGAACAACATTTAGTTGACCTAAACAGAAATTCCATTTACACTCTAAGTACACTTGAACTAATGTCAAGTCTTAGCCGGATCTCTAAAATTTTAGTTGGCGTGCCCAATGCTCCATCTCAACTGCACTTTCTGTTAATAACCTGACGCAGATATGCGGTAAAAAGGATACAACATCATCTACTAGAGTAAATCATTTCAGAGTACATGAAATGTGACATTTTATTATCAGTCAGGTAAAAAGTATTATGCCAATTACATAGTCATTTCAGAGATAATCAATACAAGACATCAAATTCTCAAAGATAAATCTAAGAGTAAAAGATGCATCCCTAACTTTGGAAAAATACATAGTATGGAGTGTGTGGACACACTCCACTCCACGGGCTCATCTGGCTACAGAAGCGTCTCATCTTCTTGCAACATTTCCTTTAGTACTCAGACCAAGAGAAAGATCCTCCAACTGGAGACAGGAATTAACAACTGGAATTTGCATTGATCAAGGCCTAGATGTGGAGAGTTTACACCTTTTGGAGACAGTTGGTAATTTGCATGAAATACACTGGGAATGGGCACACCCTCTACAGTAAGCAACATATCTCTAAACTCTTACGATCTTTACTCCTTTTTAGTCTGCTTCTTGTAAGATTCAAACCATTGTACCAGTTGCACTGAGACATTTCAAATGATACAAAACATGACAGTGAATATCACTTGCATTCATGTAGAACCTTATATTTTGCTGTTGACCATTCTGAGTGAGCTGAGTGAAGGGAAGGAAATGTTAATACACTGTGTTTGTATTGTCTGTATCTCAGGAGATCAAAGTTGTCTGAAGTTCCATCCCCGTTGCTCAAAAAAAAAAAAAAACGTTGGTTCTATATTAATATTAACATATACATAAATACAAATATAAATATGAGTATATACACATAATTAGGTTATAAAAATGCATTTTACGGTGAACGCAGTAGGCAGTAGGCTATAAGCACACGTGACGCGCCATTCCCGCATCCGCACCCACCCTCACCTCATGTTTGCGGCTGACTGCAAATGATCATAATGGACAACTATGCCCGGAAAAAAGACATCAGCAGTCCGGCGCAGAGAAAAGGAAAAGTAAAAAAGCCCAAGATAAAGCCCGTGCATCCCTTTCAAAGGGTGTGACGTCACGTGAAAACTATCAATAGCCCGCCTTGTTGGGAGAAGCTATTTACACTAACTCCACCCACCTACGTGTGACTGGGCTAGTAGTCAACACAACAAAAGACTATCAGCAAGCTACGTTTTTGACGCGATCGATCCGAGTTCGAATCTGCCTTTTGCTGCACTTTTTTTTCTCCCTTTTCAAATCTCGTATTGCATTGGAAAGGCATTTATTTTCAATAAAAATGAAGGAAATAATAGAAAAGTTGAAAATAAAGTATCGGGTAGGGTTAGGGTATGTGTAGGGAGGGCTTTATTGTCCCAATAAGGTGGCATCCATTTTTTAATTTTAATTAAAATGATCATTTACACTCAATATGTAATTATTGCATACTGTTTATTAGTTTACTACAATATTGAGATGCAGATAATTGCCACTATTTGAAATAAGTAGTATAAACAGCATTTTATCATAGTGTAAGTGGAATCTATTGTTAGCCTATCTGCACTAGGTGTAAATAGCATATCGCTAAGAAAATACTGCTATTTTCACTTAGTGTAAATAGAATA